ATTTTTAGATTTGAGACACATGTTCTAGCTCCTTCTAGCCGTAACATAATCACAAGGCTACCTAAACTAAGCAGAGTTTAGTAGTTGTCCAAGACAAACTACATGACAGATAAGAAACTATGAAACTGACTCATCGCATTCTTTGTATGAGGCAAACAAGACGTTTTTTAAAAGGCTGCTTGAGACAAAGCGATTACTGAATGTTTGCAGATAGCGATGCCAGCATCGCAGGGCTTGCCAGCAAGCAACGTTGCTTATGTAACTGTGTCCCCGACATTCAATACTCCTCGTTCCAAGCTCCCAGCAGCCTCTGCTTGACTTTGCACGTAGGATCCAGTAGGCCTGTGGCTTCAGCCCTTGAGTTTTTATTCTGTTTCTGATCCTCGAAGATGCATCTCTTCTTTTTGAGCCTGGTTCTGTCTTTTAAATTTTCCCTTGAAATATTTTATCTACTATTGTTGTTTGGAGTTATGTAGTGCCAGCCCCTAGTGAGAACTTCAAATGGCATCTCAGGTAATATGATAATAAATCGCATTACTAGATTAATAGCTCATCTTAAATATTGATTTGTATATTAAAAAATTAGGGATCCTAGAAAGCATCAGGTTATAGATCAAAATGAGTTAAAATGTCTCATTTTTAATATGTGTATGGGGACCTTCTGTGGACCCTAAAGTCATATACCATGTGGGTGGGCTCCTTGGTAATGAGTGCTCTGCACATACACAAATCAGGATTTGCCCACCCATTTCCTTTTCTTAAAGTAGTTAAAATCCTGGCCCAGTAGCTAAGATCTTTTCCTAGCTTAGTTTGATGGAGCTGCTTCTGCACCAAACATTCCATGATCCAAACTGCAGCTTCAGACTTGATACCATTTTTATTATAGCCTGTTTAATGTTACAATTCCTACAGTAACTCAGTCATTCCCTTCCTTATGAATCAGTACTGAGGCCTGTTCCCGGGTATTCAGAGAAGTATGTAACATCCTCTAGTGGTGAGCATATGCATTAAGAAAATCATGTTGCTGCTAACCTAATGTAGATATTTAGAATTAGTATTCAGAAATCCTATGTTCTTCACCTTCAGGCTCATCTTACACTTGACTTTAGCCCATTTCACCGAAAGCTCATATTTTATGATATGCTAACTCCTGAGAGTTCCTATTTTTCTAAGCTGCAAAAATAAATCTTAAAAGATTTTCAAAATTCAATTCAGATTTGGTAGAAAATATTCTGTAACGTGTCAATAAGTCATTTGGTTTTAGTTGGGTATAGACAGTGGGGCAGAAAGCTGGGAGAAGGCGGGTGAGGGGCTATCACTTTTCAGGTGCTTCTGGTTTGGTGACCTTTTAAGACAGACATTCTTAACACACCCCTGCCTCCCCACTCCCGACACACAAGATGAGGGATGCTCACATTTAAGAAACGTCTTCACAATAGCACACTCCAGGTTGGGAGCAATTCCCAGAGATCTATCTACTACCCAGTCTTTTCTCCCCCACTCAAGGAAGCCTTGTTAGGTAGGAACAGCCCGCGACGAAGGCAACCTGAACTGCAGTACGTTCTAGTTGGTGTCTGTGCTGTACCACTTCACGGATGGCTGCGAATGCCACCCAACCCTCACAGGATTCTTCAGCTCTTCAGCTAATTGCCAAAAGCAGTTTCCTTTCCACTATTAATGACCACATGCCCATTTCTACAAACTTGTTATTTTTGGAACATTAATCAAGAGTCAGCTGAGAAAGATTAAGATTTATTTTGGTAATAACCAGACAGCTAATCTGAATAAGGCACATTCTTCAACATCCATAAGAAACAAACGCAAAAGCAATCACAGTTACATAGAAACGGAATGCCAAGAAGTCTGACATTAACACTGGCAAAGCCCATTTATTAAGTACAAATGAGCAAAATGCAGTTGGGGTTGAAGGTCAGTGTGCTGCTGCTTTCTTTCATGACAGGGATGGCAAACAGGTTTAAATTTCATGTGATCTCTGATGAACCAGGAGAAACTGCCTGGAGCGTTGTGTTGATGTGACGTTGAGGCCTCGTCTGGGCTGGGGGAGAAGGCCGGTTGCCGTGGGGCCGGGGCTGGCAAGCGCAACACCTCACCAGCTCTGCCTGCCGCAACGTTCTCAGCCTGTAGCTCCCTAAGTCTGAACTGTTCTTTTTGGTTCTTATAACTGCTCTTAGCCAAGGGCAAATTTAGTTTATGAGCCTCATTGAGGAAAAGTAGGAGACCACTTCCTACACTACCAATTTATGGATTTTTTTTTGAAGACATCAAAGCAAGCTGACACAGACAATGCAGGTAATACTGGAAGGAAAGGCATTGAAGCCTAAATTATTTATGTCTTTGCAGATTAGAGGACACCGATTGCGTTCTCAGGCCGTGTGAATCGGGCTAGTGCACTCTGCTGTATAGATTCAGAAGTTACAGGGCAGTACATTAGCTGGATTTTAACAGCTCAGCCTTAGTCAGAATAAGGCAAATTTAGGCCCACGTCATTAGGTATTTTGCAACCTAGTATCTAAAACTTGACATAAATTAAAATAAGGCTTATTTTAAAATCATGTGGAGAAATTTTACATGGATATCTAACTTTGTTTAGTTTTCTGTAACTGGTAACATCATCTGTGCAAACATATCACTCACAACAAGCATTTCCCATAAAGATAAGCATCAATTTTCCCGTTGAACAAGTGATAGTGTTCAAGGTACTTGAATTTTGAACAAAACCAAAACCACCAAGAGTTTTCAACAAATAAATTTTAAAATGAAATATATTATACTCAGATTGGTGAAGACATTAAAATGAAGATTAGCATTTAACTGTATATTCAACTTGAAAAACAGATAAAAACTACTTTTACAAAATATTAAGGTCTTTATAAAGATGTACTGGTTTATTTTAACAACAAAGAATAAAAGGTTTCATGTTTAAAAAAGTTTCATGCTATTTGAAAGTATTTCTCTACAATAAACTGTGCATGGACGAGCCTTATTCCCATTAAATGATCCACTTTCACAGGCCATAATTGTTGCATTTTAACATCAATGCTCTTTATGCTTCCTGTCTTCAACAGATAAAAGCAGAAATCAAACGATTAAAAGCTATTTAAAGGGTCAAAATTGTCTCAGCGGCTAGCACTATTTAGCCGATTCATTAGCTGAGAGGCTGGTGAGCCACAGGCAGGCTCGGCCTTACTTAACTACCATAAGATGGAGGCTTCCAAATGAAATGTATTACTTTATTGACTGATTTAAAAAATAGAAACAGAAGCAAATTAGCATCACTATCTTTAGTAATATGAACCCCCTGGAACTTCTCTGTCAATCCCTGGAAACTAAATAGAAAACCTAAAATTTACTCTAAGTGTAAAAAAAAAAACAAGTCTAAAGACAGTTTCTGATTCTGCCACTTGCTTCTACAATTCTGGTGTTACTCAAGTATAATGTAATGAAAGTGGTTCTGTGATAGTAATTAAGTGGTGATGTTTAGTTATCATGTATGGTATTGTATGCCTACAAATTATTTTCTAAGTCAAATAAGCAAATTACCTGTTCCAGTAATGAAAAATTAACTACTAGCTATACAAAAGAAAATTTGAAAACTGGAAAAATGTAAAAAATAGAAATAGAAACTGATCTAAGACAATATATTAGATT